CTGTCCCAATTTTATCTGGGCAGGGGGCACAAGCGAGGGAGGCTATTCGGGGGCGGTAGCGCAACTAAGGGTCCGGCATTACACTACGCAGGGCTTCGGACTGGCACGCTGACCGATGGGGTACCTTGTCTGGGTGCTCGACCACTGGGGCTTGGTCTGTGAGGCCGCTGCCGCTGAGGGCCAGGGGATGAACGACTAAAAGGAGGTCTGGAAGAGAGACAGGGGAGGACTCGATACGAGCAAGGTGTACCCGCGCATACAAGCACGGGGCAGAAGCGTCGGCGCTCAGGTAGTTACTCCGCGTGTGCGAGGCGAGTGGGAATCCACGAGGCAGTTGAGCTTGTGTGGGTGGTTGATCACTTGTGGGAGATAGTGAGAGAACAGGCGGGGGCAGTGGCGAGCAGCAAGCAAGGTGTACCCCGCCCACTAGCATGGCTCGAAGGGAGTAACGGTCAGACGGGGACGGATTCTCTTGGCATGCACGATGTACGCAGCCCACCGCTGCCAACGCTGGTCGAAGTCAACAGACACGGGCAGTGAACGGTGGCGAGTGCACCGAACGTACCTGTCCTCGAGGCGCTAAGGTTCAGCGCTGGTTACGGTCAACGGTACCTATGGCGGTCGCTAGTGTGACTTTGGGAGAGAGAGATTGACAGAGTGAGAGAGAAGAGCGGGAGTGTATGGACATGTGCGAGTGAGGGAGAGGGTGAGAGAAAATGTGGGTACGTGTGAGTAAGCGAGTGGATCAGAGAGTGAGTGAGGGAAAAGCACGTGAGTACTCTGCGATCTTATCCTCCATGTGCTGAGCTCTCTGGTGGCCACGTACATCCGAACTTGAATGGTCGCGTCTAGTACGCATGGATCATGCAGCAAGGGACCCAGTGACAGGTTCGACAGGATATGCTAATTGAGGCCAGAAATTGAACACGCTGAAGGTGTGCTCATACATTACTCAGAGCTCAAGTGACTCACGGTAATTGCAGCCAGCGAGGGAGCCAACCACAGGCTCAACAGCGTACGCTAATCCAATCAGCCAATCTGATTAAACAGATAAGCGAATCCAGCCGTTGGACAGGGCTCTATTCCTGCGCGCTCCAACTCGCGCACGAGCGAGCGAGCCTCGCATGTTGAGATGAACCGGTGAAGAGGTACTAATCAGCATACCCCTGATCACGCAGGGGAGAGTACGAATGGTGAGGACCTAATCAGCGGACTTCTATGATCCTGGTCGTTACTGGGGCCATGTCCATCTGAAGGTGGATCGGTGTGAGCAGATCCGATTAACTCTCCACGAACAGGTAAGTGAAGAAGCAAATCGGGGATAAAAGTGGGAGATTAGTGAAGGTGATAAATAGAGTACCCGATCATATTTTTATTATTATTATTATTATTATTATTATTATATTATTTCTGTTTTTATTATTATTATCATCAGTAATCGAGACAGAGAGAGAGCAAAGAGAGTGAAAGGGAAGAGAGTTAACAAGTGAGAGAGAGTGCGAGAGAGAGAGCAGGGAGAGAGAGGGTAGTAGTGTCAGTAAGTTGTGGGCCAGTGAGGGCGAGACTGAGAGTGAGTAGGGCAGCGTGTGTAAGAGCGCCAAACAGTCCGAGATTGAGAGACCAAGTTATAGTGCGTATGCAGGAGAATAGTTGAAGACATTCTCAGCCCACGGTGGTGTTGACGTCTACGAACTCGATTTCCTTGCAGTTACTGACAGATGCTCGCTCGAGGTCACAATGGATAGAAGCCAAAGAATATGTAGATGAATCTTGCTGCGTTTTCCGCTGGTGAATCGTTCCCATTTTTTTACAATCATTTTTTTTTTTTTTTTTTTTTTTTTTTATTCTTATTTTTATCATCTGTTGGATGGTTGACTGAACCTGCAGTTTGGAACTGTNACAATGGATAGAAGGCAAAGAATATGTAGATGAATCTTGCTGCGTTTTCCGCTGGTGAATCATTCCTATTTTTTTTACAATCGTTATTTTTCTTTTATTTTTATTATTATTATTATTATTATTATTATTTTTATCATCTGTTGGATGGTTGACTGAACCTGCAGTTTGGAACTGTATCTACCCATGCTCTCGTTGAAGGTTCACTCCGCTTTTCCTCATTGGATAAGTAGCCAAGYRACCCCCTGTAGYCKGGCAATGAAAAAACAGAGATGAATGTTACCCCGTTTATGCTGAAGGTACATTCTCATTTTTCTCAAATTTGAGCCCTTGGCGTGCTGCAGAAACTCAATGATGAGGTGAAGTATCCTTCCATGTTCACGCTGAAGAATCATTCTCATCTAGTCATTTGGTGACTGGTCTAGCGGGACCGTGGCGTTTGTGCGCCACAACAGAGAGAGAGAAAGCGAGGGGGACTGACTGCACAGCAGGGCGAGAGAGTGAGAGACACTACGCAGGGACAAAGAGAGACAGTGCACAGTGAGAGAGAGTGCACAGTGAGAGAGGGAGTGGGTAGTGAGAGAGGGTGTACACAACAAGAGAAAGAGTGAGAGAGAAAGAGTGAGGGAGAAGGAGACGGCACGACTGGAGAGAGGGACTGTAGGCAGAGAAAGGGAGTGAGAGAGAGCAACTGCACAGCGGGGGAGAACGGTAAAAATTATTACTGAGCAAACTATTCCTTTCGTGGGTGTTATCTCATCGTCTTGATCTCCTTGTTGCTCCCTCTATGTGCTGACCTGACAGACAGTGAACCAATTTTGTTGTGGAATGAACTCGGTGATCTGATTATCGGCTAATCGAATTGGCTGCTGGAAGAACATGTTGAACCAACTGTTGACTATAAAAATTCTTCGGGAAAAAAAAAGAGTTCGCTAAACCCGATTGTTGACTAATCAACCTTGCTACAGAGGGAATTAACAGAACCAATGGTTGGCTATCGTATCCAGCTGCTGTATGAGCGTGCTGAACTGGCACGTGGGTACCCGAACTTGCTGTTGAGAGAACTTGCGAATTAACAAAAAAAAAAGGGGGAAAAAGGAAACAGGTGTGTGACGACATACTAAAGCCCCGATCCATGCTGGTCGCTGAGGACCTCGGAAGCGGGCGCGGCGAGTGACAGGCGCCGTTGCCCTTGGCTTCGGCGAACGGTAGGTCCACCTCCCCGGGTTACCTCACAACTCTGGCGCCGTTGCCGGGGAGGGGAACTGCACCCCCAAGGCCGCAACCTCTCCCAATCAACGGGGTGCCCTGGCTAATTAGCCGGGAGTTAGTTAGATCCGAATACCTTAATTAGTGAATTTTTATTAATTTTTATTAATTTTGAATTTCTTTTTTCTTAAATATTTCCTTATCCGTGCAATTTCACGCAAATTTCGTTTTTGACAACGAGACGAATTTTTTGACATGTTTCCCAAAAAATTCTAACGGTCGAATTTTGATGAAATTTTTTTTTTTTAATTATTTATTTATTAATTGGAAAATTTCAGTTTTCTTTTTATAATTTTTCCAAAAATTTGGTTCATTTTTGAGAGATAATTTCTTGGACCAAAGTTGTTCAGATTATTTTTCCCGTCATTTTGATACCCTGGACAAGACGAACGGAGTTAGTTAGAGGTAAAAACAACCAGTAACAACGAAGAAAATAAACGGAAAAAAAAAAAAGAATATTTATTTTTTTCAAAATTTTGTGTAAAATAGGGAAAAAGTCTGTCGAAGTTTTTGCAAATATCGAAGGGAGTTGACGGAGAAATTTTGAAACAGTGGGTGTGCTCGAAGAGAGCGTGCGGTTGCGCGCAAAGCTCCAAAACCCTAGTTAGTTAAACCCTAATTAGGGGAAACCCTAGTTAGGAGAAGAATTATCTAGGATTTCAGGGTTGGATAACAACCTCGAGGAGCAGCTAAAAAGTCGGATCGAAATATATCTGGACTATTTTGCTTTTTTTCTTTCTCGGCATTTTCTTATTATTAATTGAAAGAAAATACTTAAAATATCGAAAATGAATCAATTAAAGTTTGTTATATTTTGATAAAAATTCGCCATTGTTTCTTTTGAACAGTTGCGCTAGGGGCGACAATCCCGAACCCCACCCCAACGGAGGGAGGATGAATGGTGTGGAATTTTTCTGAATTTTTGTGTATTTTATCGACATAATTACAAAATAATTAAAAAAATACTTAAAAATCAATTAAAAATTTAAAACATTTTTTTCGAAAATTATATCTTTTTGATATACCCGATCGACGATATTTTTTGAGGCCTTCGGCCGAGCCCCATCCCAACGGGGGGAGGCGAAGTGCCGCCGAAATTTTCGAAAATTCGTAGAGATTCATTGGGGTCCTCTTAATTCAAGCAATTTAACATATAGACATATATAAGAAATATAAATATATGTGAGGTAAGAAAGGGGGTATATCTTGCATAAATATAATTTTTGTGAATTAGATACAGTAAAACACAGAAAAATCTCCTAGATAGGGAAAGGGAAAGGCGAATTAGAGTAAATAAGGTACAAGCTTGATCCCTTACCCCCTTTTAGGGGTTGGGTGCAGCGACGGAAATTTTTCCTAACTAAATTTATTTATTTCATATTTATATAATATGAATTCAAAATAAATAGTTAGTCTGTGCCGGAAAGAGAAACGTACTTGCCGCACTACTCTCTAGGGGAAACCTTGTATGCCCCTAGGCAGTGGAGGAGAGCCAGTAGGTTTCTGTAGATTAACAGTAATTTTATTAATTTAAATTTATTAAAGTTTCTTAGAAATATAAAAATGGCTTAGCAAAATAGCCAAAAGAAGGTGACGGCCTTCTAATTTTGGTTCTTAGATAGAGGGTGACATCCGTACTCCGGAAGGGTGACCGGAGCAGTCGCGGGCAGCGTTCCCTCGAACAGAGCACACGCCTTGTATTCGAGGGAACTCGACTATAGGGCCTGTCTGCTTTGTTCAGGGCCGGGATTCCGCCCTTTGACACCTTAGGGGACTCTTGGGATAGATTGGAGATAGATCGATAGCGTTATATCGAGACTCCCAACGAAGGGAGGCGAAGCGCTGCCAAAATTTTCTTAGAAACGACAACATTTTTCTACTATCTTTCACCTTCTCTACACATCCCTCTTACTACGTTCTCTCTAGCTATCAGGTGAATGTGGCCGCAAGCGCAGGTAGAGGTCTACGAGGCCAGCAGCGCTTGGGACGTGGAGCCCCCAGAGCTCATAGAGGGGGATCTGGTGGAGCTCACGATTCCCGCGCGCAGCGCCCGATATATTGACGGCCAGTTTGCGTGGAGGTCCATTGTCTTGTCTGCGGACGTGTGGCTCTGGACGCACAGAGAGCACTGGCCTGGACAAGGGGTGGGCGTAGTGAGAGTCTACCTGTACTTAGGATTGGATGCGGTCAAGGAGGCCGCGCTTAGCCTCGCGACGACAGGGACTAGTGACGCGGTTAGCAGGGCTTTACGCTACCTGAGGGACGAGGTCGCCGTCTTCCGAGTGGAGGACTCGAGCGACCCGTTGACGCTGTTTCACGGACGCCCTCCTCTTGATATCACGAGCGAGTTTGTGATAGCACGAGACCAGTTTTTTCCGTACAGCGTTTCGAGTCTGCGAGCGATAGCCCCTGCGTTCGTTGTAGAGAGCATCTTTGGATGTATAGGCGGAGTGGTTGAGGCATACTTAGCCTATCAGGATCTCGAGGTCCTTGCCAGAGAGCCCGGTGACCTCGACTACCTCTATTATTCGCTTGCGACTGGTGGGCCTCGTTGGGGTGACGAGAGGGTTCAACTTATAGAGTTGATCCGGCCCCAGTCTCCGTGTGTTTGGGATTGGCTGGACCGTGAGCTTCGAGCAGGCCCCGAGTACGTGACCTTTATCGGGAGACTCTTCTCAAACGACTGGGGTAGCTGGTGGAGTGAGGGCGATGGGCGACCTCTGATACACGGCTATCAGTTGGCGGAGTATTACCAGGCTATAGGGCAGGCGCCATATCGCGTCGAGGACAAGTTCGACGACGAGGGTTGGGAGAGAGAGGACGGCGAGGACGCGTGGGAGCCGGATTGGGTTGACCCAGCGAGTGAGGTTGACGAGGAGGAGGACGACACGGCAGACGCTCACTTCGCATGCATAGGAGTACCGATTAGGGTCTCGCCAGATTGTGCGGCGAGGCGACTGCGAGCTAGGCTAGCGGTAAGATTCGGCAGTAGAGTGAGAGAGTGAGATAGGAGATCCTGCAGGCAGATGGTAGAGGAGATCGAGAGAGTCGATCTACCCTTTGGTGATTTCAGATGGCCTAGACCGCCCGAGATCATAGCTCCTGACTTGGTGGAGCTTGATCTACCGGCCAGACGTGCACCTATGGTCATATACCGTTCAGACTTACGAGTCTGATCCGCAGAGGTGGCGGGCGCCTGGCACGACGTCGATAGAGGCCGTAGGGCATATTTATTACTCACGCGAGGTAAGCGTCGTCGTCTATATCCAGGGCTTGGTGCATGGGTTCTGGCGGTATGAGAGAGAGGTGAGAGAGATCCTGACAGGCGTGATAGAGAGTGCACGAGAGGGGACAGAGGATCTGTATGGGCCTGTCAGGGAGACGAGGATTACGTTTTGGATATGAGGGTTTGCTTTTCCGACAGTCGGACTGCGCGCCAGGTTCCCGGTCTTTGTAGTGGAGCAGCTTTGGGGCTTGGGGTGCGTCGTGGAGAGATATTTCGCGGCTCTAGAGCTCGACGGACTAGTTAGAGGGCAGACGGAAATGGACTGGATTGCCTACGCACAATTCGTAGGCGGGCCTCTTACTAAAGAGAGGGGATAGTTTGGAGAGGGTCGGACGACTCTTTAGCGAGACTCCCGGTGATAGGCCTACTTCCCTCATCTCTAAATGGGAGTTGGAGGAGCATTACCAGGGGATATATCCAGATAGAGAGGAACTCGGCTGGGACGTCGATGATCGAGATTGGGAACATCTCAGCGACGCAGAGCCTTGGGGACAGGACGAGAGACCGTGGAGAGACGTGCCAGACGGTGGGCGAGACAACCTTGGCGTCGATTTAGACAGACCAGATAGCGATGGTTGAGGGCATCTAGCTCGGGCCGAGGGGCAGGAGCATATCCCCTGGGGCCAGATTGTGGACGCAGACGGAGACGACGACGTGGACGAGAGTATGCCAGACGCGGGAGACGATGAAGGATAGGGTATATCCGAGCATAGTGTAGAGCGCAGAGTAGAGGGGTGTCGGATGATAGACACAAGGAGATAACTTCAGACGAGACAGGGATTGCAGTAAGCACTGAAAGAGATGGCGGACAGAGACACACTGAGAGTGACCCTTTCCGTGCGGCGAGAAAGGATAGGGGGTTGGGAAGAAGAGGCGTTGGACGATGTTGCACGACAAATCAGACTCATGACTGAGCATGCCCTGGAGATACGGAGAGACCAGAGATACGTCGAGTTTACCATCTACTTCCATGGAGCTGACGGGAGAGTGCACAACACCTACTCGACCATACTGAGCCTGAGTGGTAGAGTTGTCTGAGGAGTTAGCAACATCGTGAAATCGAGTGCGTCGAAGGGGGTGGAGTGATACAGGTCGAGTGGCAAGGGGGAATGAGGAGTGATTCGAGCGCATGGTGGGCGTATGTCTTATTGCGGGATTCAAGCTCCTACAGGGCGAGGAGACTGACAGAGCCTAGGAAGACCGCGCTCGGGTTCGACATACCCCTTCCTGCGCGATAGGAGGATAGCAGCCATTGGCCTCGTCTGGGGACGGAGTTCAGTGAGAGACGGAGAGATTCCTGCGCCACCAGTCACGGACTAGAACTGGGAGCGAAGGAACGAGAGACCCTACTGTCAAGGACTTAGGCCATAGGTATTGGGCGACTTGAGTTGATGAGTTAGCTTGAGTGATGAGGAGTGACTCGGCAGCTTGGCTGACTTATGTTCTCTCACGAGAGTCCGAATCCTTTAGCGTGAGGAAACTTGTAAGACCCAGAGAGACGACTGTCGGATATGATATTCCTCTTCCTGTGAGGTTAGAAGAGATTGACTGTGTTCCGATACGTTACCTTGGAACGCGGCTGGCTGAGGGATTTTTCCTTTGGACGGTGATACTGAACGATAGTCGACCCGAAAGGACTCATGACCTAGAAGGGGTGGGACACCTAATAACGGACAGAGCTCATGAATTAGACATAGGGCTGACGCTGGCAGGGGCTAGCAGGGCTTGGTGGAGAAACGAGTTGCTAGCCAGAGTGATCGTTAATCAGCAACTGGCGAGACTCTCAGGAGGAAGGTCGTACAGGAGTCGCTTGGTATACGGACCTCCTCATCCGACCTTCTACCCGGAAGAGGGTTGGTGATTTGGACTTCCTGCGTTCGTAATAGGGCAGACCTACGAGAGCGTAGACCGTTTGAGCGTGGTAGTGAACCACACACTTTACGCGCTTTGGGAGGGCTTGGCTCCCCATTTCAGGGACGCGTACTACGCCATTTGTGTACGGTGGGGGCCACCCAACAGAGAGACGCTTGACGACATCATATACACTACTTGCTGGGTGGACTGTCTGAGGCCAGTTGATCTGATTAGGTACTGCAGAAGACGAGCGAAGATTGATAATGTGGTGTTGGAGTATGTGAGGTTTCTCTTTGAGGTCACAGCTTAGGGAATGTCGGGGAGAACGACAGCTGTGATGCGCTTAGATAAGCAACTGGTAAGCACATGGTACACTTTGACGGTACTTCTCCGAGTATACATTGATGAGGACCTGACGGTGAGGGAGTGTCGACTACGAGCCAGGGATTTGATCCGCGAGCATAGGGCTGATGTGCGGGAGCGGGTGACCTTCCAGACCTCGATTTCCTATGATGTGATGGTATGGTTTCATGGTTATATGCGCGTGGAGCACTACCACGAGGAGATGGTAGCAGAGGCTAGAGCGAGGGTATGAGGATGAGTTGGAAAAGAATGTGGACAGAGTATGGAAGAGGAAAGTGAGGCGGTCGAAAGAGTAAGAAAGCACATTAAAAAACCGCTCTTGAACCGGGTAAAGGATTTGGGAAACAAGGTAAGGAAGAACGGTTCGTGCCAGGAAGAGGACAAGATGCGTAGGGTCGAGCTCGTGACGAAAGAGTTAGAGAGTCTGTTCCAGCAAGATAGAGAGTTAATCCAGGTGTGGAGATCGGAGTTTCTGGAGAGGGTCAGGACGAAAAACCTATCACGCGAAGGAGCTAAGGAAAAGTCTGCAGAAGACGTAACAACAAAGGACAAGGTAACGCAGGGGGATAGCAATAGGACATGAGCGGGACTGCACTAAACACGACGGACATGTACTCATTGCATGTGGTAGGGAGACTGGACGGACCGTTGGTGTTAGTGATCGCAGAGCTCCAGCTCTATACCAGGTTGTGCGTAGTTGAGGAGGCCGAGTGTTTTCGCCATGCGCTGCGAGAGGCTAGGGGAACATGACTTTGGACTGGAGTGGAAGGAGGACGAAGGATAAAATACGTACTTCGCGTAACACCTTTCGAAGGGCGGCCTCAGATAAGGGCGTGGTACGAGATGACCAGAGAGGCTGAGAGGTTGAAGATAAGCGAAACCAGGAAAGCTGGGGAGCTAGGGAGAGTTATTGTAGACGGAGCAATACTCAGGGTGCTAGCCGCTCACGACCGATACTGGAGGGAATCGATAAAGACTTTAGAGGCCATAGAGGATAGTGGCGATGAGGAAGAATTTGAGGCGTTCTATGATATATTGAAGTTGTCCGCGGTGAGGTTACGAGCGGCTATAGCACTGACTTTCCTCAGATGCTTAACAGGTGACCTTATAGCTTTCTGGGAGTTAAAGGAGGGGGAAACAGAGGTTGGAAGCTCTTGGAAAGATAGTGGAGGTCAGAGAGATCAGGGGAGGCGCGACCTTGTTGGCAGATCCCGAAGGAGAGGTTTACACAGACACAGGGATTCATGGGATAGAAGGTGAACACGAGGTCTGCGATCGGAACGGAGTACTGGTAGCAATAATCGGCGCAGTCGAGAGCTAGGATTGGAGACGAGCGCGAACCGTAACAAGTAAACAGGTCCGGGCTGCGAGTTCTGTCACAGGTCCGGGCTGCTGCAACTGTCATAGGTCCGGGCTGTAACGCCTGGCGTAAGTGCCCGACTACAACTTCTGGTAGCCTATGGAACCAGACACGATGGGACGACAACCGACCACGGACGAAGCAGGAGAGGAGTATAGGACATCGCCCGACCGAGCACTGAGGGATATGAAGGAACGAATTAGGCAGGGAGCACCGCTGAGATGGGCTGACCAAACCAATGACGGAGAACCCGACGTGATGGGCGAGCCGGTCGTGACAGAGCCGGAGGAGACTTTGAAGACTGGGACCTCGAGCGCTCGACGAGAAGCGACGACGCGACGCTCCCCTTAGTATGGACGGAGGGAAACCAGGACGGATAGGCGCGGGGATGACTGGAGAGAGAGTTCACGAGATTCCTATTAGAGGGACAGAGACAGGGATAGAGCACCGCCCCGGCGTGTCTTCGACCCTAGACGGGGCAGTCACATCCGCTTCCTTACGAGAGCAAGGATCGCTATATTATTACGCACAAGGCCTCTGAGCCTCCTACCTTCAGGGGCTATGGTATCACAGAATATCAAGAGAAGTGGGAGCTTCATGCCAGCGAGAGTCAGTGGTCGGAGGAAGAGATTATAGAAAACTTCCTATTTAATGTGGATCCAAGTCTCGGCAAGGAAGTTAAGGAAGCCCGGCCGAAGGATGGGAAATGGACTACGTATAAGAAGAACCTCATTGAGCTTTACAAATTGGAGGATAACAAGTACTCCATCAAGGACCTTGAGACTATGACTGAAGATAAAGATGAGAGCGTACGGGCATTTGGGAAGCGCTTCCAGAAGATCTCTGACGTGCTGATGAAGAAGGGAAAGATCTCAGAGGTCGAGCGTTGTACTATCTTCATTGGACACCTGTCCAAAGGTAGACACAAGAGTATACTTAGAGATCTCCCGAGCGCTTGATTTCCCTGAAGTCCTAAAGCTCGCGATAAAGGCAGAGGCAGACCACTACAAGGACTTGGTATGAAGGGGAATGAGGAGACGAGACTTCGCTCTCTATAAGGAGTATGCCACTGATAGGTGTCCTAATATCAAGGATCACCCCTGGTCGGAGAAGAATGAAGCCGTGACCGAGGAAGTGAAGGAGATAAGGGACATGGTAAAGGGATTGACAAGACAGGTTACAGAGATTGTGACCAGCACAGGAGCCACATCTTACTGGGACAAACCTGGAGGGCCCTATTCACTTCGCTGGGACCGTAGGAACACTGATTCCTGGAGGAGTGTCGAGGATAAAAATCCTCGAACGCTGACTGATTATCGTGCGAGGGAGAGGGAAAGAGACGATGAGCCATGGCGACGTAGGGATGATGAGATAGACTGGGACCGCAGGGCTCGCAAGACGTATGGACGAGCTAGAAGACTGAATGATTACTCGCGTAGCCCTCGTTATGAGGCTGATTGGGGTAGAGGCGACTCTCGAGGTCGGTGGGAGTCGGATCAGGGCCGACGAGACGGATACAGGGACGGCAGATATGAGAGGTCGGACCGAGATGGATACAGGGACGACAGATATGAGAGGTCGAATCGAGATGGATACAAGGGTGGCAGATATGAGAGAGGAGATCGAGACGAAGATCGACGAGATGGCTTGCGCGGACGGTATGACCACGGGGGATTCGTGAGAGCGCAACGTGACGATTCGCGGGGGTGGTACGACCGAGGAGATCGACGCGATGAGTCACGCGGGCTATATGACCATGGAGACCGCCGGAATGACTCACGGGGACGATATGAGCAAGGAGGGTCTGGACAAGACCGCCGAAATGATTCGCGCGGACGGAATGAGAGAGGGGGATATGGCGCGTCATCTGATCCGTATCCGAAGTCCCCTGATCCCAGAGCAGCCAGAGGTTCGATCTCTAGGAGCACAGACGACAGCCCATCCACTCCCAGGAACTCTTGCGTCTACTGTAGAGGAGATGATCATATCAAGAGAGACTGCCCGGATCTCAAACGGGCAATAGATGAGGGACTTGTCGTGCTTGATGACCGCAAGTACGTCAAGTGGGCAGATGATCTGGGAGACGTATCAATGTTCCCTTCGGTGAAGGAGAATGTAGAAGCAAGGAGAGTAAAGCCGAGTAAAGGAAAGGAGCCGGTTAGGAGTCAGAGCATCAAGATAACTTTCGAAGGAGATATGGCAACTACACCCATAAGGGTGACAGCTACCAAGTCAGCAAGAGTTTCAACATCGAGGAAGACTGACACGGATTATGTGATGGCAGAAAAGGATGGACAGCGGATCGATGGAGAGGAGGTTATTCTTTCATCACGAAAGCAGGGAGTGAAAAAGTTCTTGATGAAGAGTTCGCTGGATGATATTGCTACGTTCGAGCCACTGAGACGGGTCCTTCCGCAGCCCATGCAGTGCTCTATTCTAGAATATCTGGCAGCATTCAAGCCGGCACGCGACGAGTTACAGATGATCATGTGAAAGACTCGCATACCTCTATCGGAGGAGGTTTATGTGACCCTTAAGGCGGATGGCCCTACTGTAACAATATCAGAGGTGACAGCTAGAGTAGATCGCATGACAACAGTTCTTCTTGATGGGATGGAAGGTGTGCCTCCAGACAAGTTTTACATACTTGAAGTGAGACCGTGGAGGCGATCCTAAACGACGGAGCGGTTCTAGATGCTGTGATCGATAACGACAGTGAGGCTGTCATTATAGACGAGGATCTGACAGAGCGAGTTGGACTGGGACTCGATAGGTCATACCTATTTGAGATAGAGACGGTTGATGGGAGAAAGCAACAAATTACAGGGGTTTGTCACAAGGCAGCCATAGAGGTCCAAGGGGTACGAGTGACCCTGCTAGTCTTTGCAGTCAAGTATGGACCTCTGCTCACAGAAGAAGAAGGCCGGATTGTAGAAGTGGAAGATTTAGGGAGCCGGCTGATAGTGGACGGAAACTCGTATCCAAAGGAAAAAGATGAGGAATTTGGCGGTGTGGTATCCGTGTCTTTTTTAAGGGCACGGCCCCCTATGGGGGGCTACCCAAGCGACACAAGCRAGTAGCTCAGAAAGTTAAGCCAGCGGCAGTGGGCCGCGAGCGGTCTGCACTGGAAGGGATATGGGAGGAAGAGATCGCAAAGGAAATCAAAGAAAGAAAGAAAAAGGAGCTTCAACGCCTAACGGAAGAGAGGATAGCAGGGATGGACATCGGAGATGGAAATCTGACCCCACAGGAGCGGGAACGTGTGATAGAAATCTTAAAGACGTGCGATAAGACTATAATTTTCAGCGACGCGGAGCGCGGTAGGGTCGACCCTCGTTACGCTAAGCTAGCAAGGATTTACACGATTCCACATGTTCCATGGAATGACGCAGGATGGAAATACGCCCAGAAGGAGAAGGAAGAGGTTATCGCTTTCCTCAAAGAAAAGATGGCTTCTCATGTTGCAGAGCCATCTGACAGCGCTTATGTTAATCAATGGTTCTTCCTTCGAAATCCGAATGGCAAGATCCTGTGGATCCAGGACCTTCATAAGATCAACGTGGTGACGATTCGAGACGTAGGCTCCGTGCCTCACGTCGACTTACTGGCTGAAGGCGCCGTGGACATGTCGATTTATTCGGTCTGTGATCTGTTCTCAGGCTATGATGAGGTACCGCTTGATCCCAGGGACAGGCACCTCACGGCTATGCACACACCATTGGGACTGATACAGATGATGATCGTCCCTATGGGTTGGACAAATGGGGTAGCCGTTTTTCAGAGAGCCATGGTAGCCGTCCTCAGGGACTTTATTCTTGACAAGGTTGAAGTTTTTCTGGATGGCTTTCCTATAAAATGACCAGTAAAGAAAAATGAGATAGAGGTCGTGCCAGGAGTTAGAAGATTCGTCGAGCAGCACCTAACCGATATTTGCGCGGTACTTGAGCAACTGGACGATGCAAATTTGACGGTCAGCGGAACAAAGAGCCGGTGAGCCGTCTCGAGTATTAAGATCTTAGGCTTTATCTGTGACTCAAGAGGACGCCGAGCAGATCCTGCAAAGTTAGACAAACTTCTAAATTGGTCGTCACCGTTGCATAACTCTACCGAGGTCCGTCAATTTCTGGGAGTGGTCGGTTACTGGCGGATTTTCATACGCAGGTATGCGGAGAAGGTTGAGCCATTGAGGGTACTCCTTCGGAAGACTGAGAAATTATAATGGGATTCATCTCAGGGACTCGCTATGCAAGAGCTTAGAGATGAATTTAAAGAGGGAGGGCGCGTACTGGGCGTGCTATACTTTGATGATGAGGCCGGGAGACCCTTCATAGTATCCACGGATGCTGGACCTTGTTCAGTTGGTGGGCTGCTGTCTCAGAAGGACGCTGAAGGGAAGGAAAAACCGTTAAGATTTGAGAGTAGGACACTTAATGCGGCTGAGCGTAACTACAGTCAATTCAAGAAGGAAGTGTTAGCTGTTCTGCGGTGTCTAGACATGTTCAGACACTATATCTACGGCTGGCGGTTCATCTTAAGAGTAGATCCCACAGCGGTTGCCTCTGTCCTCCAGAAGGACTTTAGTCTGACGGACCCGACCATCGCACGATGGTTAATACGGATTCGACTCTATGATTACATAGTTGAGAGAATATCGGATACTAAAAATGTCGTGGCGGATGGGCTTTCTCGGATCCCTCTAGAGGTCGAGCGCCCGATAGTAGCTGGAGCCTTAACAATGACGGAGCCGAGATGCGCCGATCGATTTCTGGTTAACCTTTACGAGGACAAACACCGAACCATCGGGCTATATTTGTCAGGGGAGGAAAGTCAAGATTCAGATATCCGGAGACAAGCGGCCTAGTACTGCCTTAGGGCGGGCCATCTATTCCGAAGGCCGGTCGGATCGGGGATGCCCTTACGAATAGTCTGTGAACCAGAAGAGAGACGAATGATAGTTGAGGAGCTTCACGACGAGGTAGTCGGAGGTCATAGGGGAATCAAAGGAACCTACGAAAAGGTACGCAGACTGTACTGGTGGGAGGGACAGTATAAGGACGTCGAGAGATACTGTATAACCTGCGAGGAGTGCCAGAAGAGAGCTCTTGTGAAATACAAAGAGCCACTTCATCCATCGTATCCGACCAGGCCAGGAGAGAAGGTACACATCGATCAGGTGAAGATGCCGAAAGGAGTAGGCAATATAAACTATGTTGTGAACATATGAGACGACTTCACTGGGTTCGTGGACGGTAGACCTACCAAGAGTAAGTCGGCAAGGGAAATGAAGAACTTTGTCCTAGAGTACCTATCTAGGTATGGATGTGTTAGCAAGATAGTCATGGATAGAGGGGCGGAATTTCTAGCTTACGGGGTTCAGAGTGTGTTCAAGAGAGCTGGGGCGAGAGTTTCGATAGCCACCGCCTACCACCCACAGTCGAACTCTCCAGTAGAGAGAGGACACCAGACTCTGATAGCGTCATTATCCAAGTGGTGCAAAGGTAAGGACAACGATTGGCTACGATATTTTCGATACGCGATATGGGCAGACAACGTCACGGTCTGGGCTAGCACTGGATACCAACCATACACCTTGTGGTTCGGACGACATTGTCCTCTCCCCATAGAGTTTCACGTCGACAGTTGGACAACCGTCGACTGGGCGGAAAGGATATCCAATGAGGAACTCATAGCTGCCCGAACAAGACAGATAACCTACGGTTTGGAAGGCAACCTTATGACAGCAGCAGATCGTCTGACAGTGGTGAGAGACAAAGGTAAAGAGAGATGGGATAAGGGCGTGCGAATCAGGAAAGAGAGGGTGAACGTAGGAGATATGGTCCTTCTCTACGACGCAGCACTGGAAAGGACCTGGACCGGAAAACTCGTCAACAGATGGATGGGACCTTACAGAGTGGTTGAGGTGCTCGACTGGGTGCCTATATGATAGCAGAATTAGACGGATCCAAGTGGAAGGACCCAGTGGCGGGTCCTAGGTTAAAGTTATTTAGACCCAGGCCTGCACCCACCTTATCCCTGACAAGTTCAAAAGGAAAAGGGAAGGCCAAAATGGAGGATGGAGCCCCCTCGAGGCGATATGAGGCGGGAGAGAGTTCCAAGAAAAGGAAAAGGGTGGAGAAAAGAAAGGTCAAAGGGTTGGCGATGGGAAAGAGGAAGAAATGGTCATTCGTGCTCAGGAGAGCCAGACGGAGAGTTTGTATTAGACAAGCTGACGAGTCGACACCTATCACGGACCGATGTCAGAAGAGAGAGAGAATCCTATCCAGGCCAAATTTCCGAAGAAAAAGGAAAGTCAAGAAGCGTCTTCTTAGTCCTTGAACTCAAAACAAACTGAAACATAAGATATTTAAACGCCGACGTGGGCGTCCTTCACAGGCAATCACCCTGAAGCTCGTCCGCTTCGTTTGACGTAAGTGGATAGGGCTCGACGGGGGCGTCGAGAAGTGGTCCAGGCTAACTGTCAGGCGGCCACAAGCAGTGCGCCGCCTGAAATCTGCGG